TGAAGGGTCTAGGCCCGAAACGTCTGCCTTCCTGCTCCTCTGATGCTGCTTGGCCTGCTGTGTTCATCCAGCTCTACACTTCGTTACCACAGTTAGAACCACTGTTTAAAACAACCATGAAGAAATTACACAACTCAGGAGATATCAGCAAAACAGACTACCAAAAAATGAAGCCAAATGGATCCAATACACCCTGCTTCTATGGACTCCCTAAGGTACACAAGCCAGGAGTCTCCCTCAGACACATTGTCTCACTACCAGCCACATTAACATATAGACTAGCCAAAGAACTACAACGGAAACTGAAATACATAGTTGACAACTCCACCCACTCCATCCAATCGTCCCAAGAATTCCTCAACACCATCAAGGACACCAGAATGGAATAGGATGAGATAATGATATCCTTCGACGTGACAGCACTATTTACATCCATTAACATGAACCTAGCCAAAGACACAATTGCCACATTGCTGAACAAATCAGGAAGGCAGGCACCCCATGACACCAACAGCACCAACAAGGACAACACCCTGAAAGTGCTGGATCTGTGCCTGACAACTCACTTCACCTTCAACGACCATATATTCAAACTAATCAATGGAACACCAGTGGGATACCAATATCAGGACTGATTGCAGAAGTGGTAATGCAAAGGTTAAAATGGACAGCACTCTCCACTATACAACCCAGGCTCTGGGTCTGCTATATAGATGACACCTTCGTGATTATCAAACGCACAAGACTATAAGAAACCCACGAACACATAAACAACATCCTCGCCGGAATAAAATTCACAAAAGGAAAAGAGAACAAACTGACTACACCTCCTAGACATAAGGGTAGAGCATAAGAACAACGGGGAACTCCAGACTGGCATATACAGAAAGACCACACATATGGACCAGATACTTAATTATACCAGCAACCACCCCAACACCCATAAACAAAGCTATGGAGATTGTGGTTGCAAAGTGACTATGGTTGGAGTCTAAATACTCCAACATACATATCTTTTAGAAGAAATGTGTAAGATGGAAAAAAAAATGGCTTGTATTTACAATAAAGAATGGGATAAATAAAAGTCAATAGCAAGAATGGATCTTTGCTCTAAAAATTAAAAAAAAAAGTTTAAGTAAAACTAAGATACAGCAAGGAAAGCAAACATTGCTGGGATTTGTTTACAAGCCCCCTAATAGTAGCTCTAAATCCAGAAATTCGAAATTCAACCACTACAGGTAATATAGCAATCATGAAGACTTAAATCTTCAATTATACTTGGGAAAACTCAATTGCAATAATAGTGAAGAGAATGAATACAAGAAGTTTTACTAGGTCAGTGAGTTTAAGAACCAATTAGGGAATAGCCTATTCTGGATCTAGTATCTTGCAATGAGCAAATAATTACCTAGAAGTAAAAGAGTCCCTAGAGGAAAGAGACCGGAATATGACTGAATTTTATATTCAGTTGAAAGTGATGCAATTATG